GACTGAAGAGTACAATCTGCCACTTTGCCTAGCGTATGTGGACTATGAGAAAGCCTTTGATTCCGTCGAAATTTGGGCGGTGCTACAGTCCCTTCAGCGGTGCCAAGTTGACTGTCGGTATATCGAAGTGCTGAAGTGTTCGTACAGTAGGGCTACGATGGCTATCCGAGTACAGAACCAGAGCTCGAAACCTATCCAACTGCAGAGAGTTGTAAGACAGGGTGACGTTATATCCCCGAAACTCTTCACCGCTGCATTGGAAGACGTTTTCTAGCTACTGGACTGGAAAGGATACGGTATTAACATCAATGGCGAGTACATCACTCACCTTCGATTTGCCGACGATATAGTCCTTATGGCAGAATCGCTGGAGGACTTAAGCACTATGCTCAATGACCTCAATAGTGCCTCCCAACGGATAGGTCTTAAGATGAACATGGACAAAACAAAGAGCATGTTTAATGTCCATGTCACACCTATGCCGGGAGTTGTTGGGAGCACTATGCTCGAAGTTGTTGACGAGTACGTTTCCCTGGGACAAATAGTCCGACTAGGTAAGTCCAACTTCGAACCGAGAGGTCAATCGGCGGATTCAACTCGGCTGGGCAGCATTCGGGAAATTACGACACATCTTATCGTCAGGTATACCTCAAACTCTGAAACTAGATTGTACAACCAGTGCGCGTTGCCAGTGATGACTTACGGATCTGAGACGTGGTGCTTCACTGTTGACCGTATGAGGACGCACAATGTCGCTCAGCGAGCTATGGAGAGGGCTATGCTCGGAGTTACTCTGTGTGATAGACTCAGAAATGAGGATATCCGCAGTAAAACCGGAGTGACCGACATAGCCTAACGGATTACTAAGCTGAAGTGGCAATGGGCCGACCATATAGCTCGAAGAACCGATAACCGATGGGGGAAGAAAGGTTCTCGAGTGGCAGCCTCGTACCGGTAGGCTTAGTGTAGGGCGACCCCCACTAGATGGAGTGACGACCTGGTAAGATATGCAGGAAGTCGATGGATGCAGGTGGCTCAGGACCGTGCTTTGTGACATTACTTGGGGGAGGCCTATGTTCACCAGTGGACTTGTGAAGGGCTGTAATGATGATGATGATGATCATCATTACCTTAAAAGGTTTTTCTTAAAAGATTGTTTATATTTGTATTGATTGATTAGTAAGTATAAATCCCAAACATTATTAACGCCAAAATAACTTGAATCAGGACATTCTTTATGATAGAAGATATGAGATTAGACTTCAGTATTTATAGACTGCATTTCCATATTCCGGTTATCTTTTTATATCTGCCTACAGGCAGTTCTGCAAGCTTTCAGCCTGCAAGACCTACAGATTTGTTATAAGCGATCCACTTAAAAAAAGATAATGAATATTGTAGAGTGTCTTTACTAAATAATAATTCTTATCAAAATATTATTTTATCTATATTTATTGCTTTTAAATGTTTATGTTTGTATTGATTGAGTAATAATTTACATTTCAAACACTATTAAAGCCAACAAAACATGTTCATTCATCGTTAGAAGAATCAGAAGGATACTTTCAATAATAAGAGATATGAGAAAAACTATTGCCTTCAATGTCAATAAACTATATATTTCCATAGTGCTGTTAACATTTTGTTATCTCTGCCTCTATGTTGAATAAAAAACATATTATCATTAAAAAGAACACCAATAATCAGCTCCAGTTGATCAAATACAGAGTAGTAATTATGGATTTACATAAAAAATATTTGACTATGTACAAATTGTCTGACTTTTTTTTTTCACTGGTCTCATGTTAGAGAAAAAGATATTATTTTTATATTAGGTATCTGATGAAAATTTTATATGTGGTAGAGCCATGCTGCAGTTATTAATAATATAGTTGTAGCACGAATGGGTTGACTCGACCGGGGAAGGACCACTCTCTCAGAGAATACCATAATAAAATAGTAGCTTAATGCTGCTGTGTTTCCTATGGTGAGTGTAGAGAACCGGAGATCCTTTTACTGGAAACGAGGCATTCCATCTTAGTCCTCACAGGTGACAACGCATCTGCATTTTAATTCATAATCGAGAATAGATGTAGATGTCTATGGCCACAGCAATCACTTAACATCAGGTGGACTGTGTGCTCGTTTGTCACCCTATCCTATATAAAAAAATATTCCTTTCTCCGGAGTTAACAACACAGCAGTCTTAAGGATAACAGAAGCATCTGATTCTGTAGGGTACGGTCAAAACATCACGGCTATAGCCATTACACTATATTACGTAAAACACTCAATAAGTTTTGAGAAATACAAAAAGTATTCTAGATACTATTAATATTTATTTTACATATTTTCAAAATATTCTCCATCATACTATATATAAAGTTCCATTCGCCTAAACCAACTCTAAAATAACTTGCCAGTCTTGATCTGACAGGTCGGAAATCGCTTCTTCGTAGGCAGCCACGGCTTCTTCGGTGCTTGAAAAAAACTTGGGTAATTTTTTCTATTGCGGTCCCCTTGTTTTTTGGCTCTAGAAAATCGAAAAATCATCCGATTTCGATATTTTTTTAAATCTTTATTATTACGGTGGATTTACGAAAAAAAAATACAAGAATAAAAAAAACGAAAACTAATATTGGTTTCAAGGCTTTAAATGTCATGAAAATGCACTCATTCACGTATAATTGTTAATAACTTTTTTTAAATAATCGAATGAACTTTTTTTCATAATATACACAAAAATCGAATATTAAAAAAATTGTTTTTTTTTTTTGTTTTGGTTTTTATTAAGTGTAAGATCGAGCGATGCAATCTCGGGACTTAAGGCATCCCGACTCTGACAGGTTAGGTTAGAAGTAGATGGCGGGGCCGAGTGGTTATTATGTTATAAACCACTCAGAAGCGGGAGCCCCGCGAAGCGGTGCTCCGTCGACCGGGCTGCCCTCGACTGCGCTACGGCAGAGAGTTGGGAGAGGAAAGCACCACGCCACTCAACGTCGTGATTGCATCGTCATGCAGCATGACTCCCCGAAGCCCGGTCTTTGGTCTTCTCTCCCGCACAGCTTGAAAAGCTGTGGGTAATGCAACTGTAGTATACCATTCAGAGTTGACTGACCTACAATTTTCCAGAATTGATTTTATGGCACCAATCCACACGAGTCTGTTTTTCGCTTTCGGAAAGCAAACTAGGGATTCATCGACAACAAAGCTTCCTTACTCCACGATGTTGATGTATGATGGTATAAATGCTCCCCGAACTAATGCCTACAATCTTTTCGATGTCTGTATATGTGATTCGTGGGTCTTCTCGCACCAACATTTCAGTAGTCCATACATTTTCTGTCGTTACTGCTGTTTGCGTGACCCCGGTTCTTTGGTCATCTTTAAGGTTAATTTTACCCCTTTTGAATTCAGCAAACTACTACTTTTGCTTACTACACTGTATTCTATCTCATTCTTTTGAAGGCTAAATCCTATAGGTATATATGTTTGTCTCTTTTTAGTTTCATCGAGTTTCAAATCACAATGGTTCTAAAGAAGTTTCGACTTTAAAATAGTTTCTTCGTATTCCAATTGCCTATATTAAGTATAGGAGGGTGTTTTTTTGAATCGAAGGCAAACGAGCATGCGGCTCACCTGATGGTAAGTGACTACCGCTGCCCATGAACTACCGAAACATCAGGGAATTGCAGGTGCTTTGCCGGCCTTTTAGAAAAGAGTAAACTCTTTTATTGAAGGTCCCTTAGTCGTATCGGTCCGGAAAAGTCGCCGGTGGTAAACAATTCCACAGAGAAGTTGTACGAGGAAGAAAACTCCTACTAAAACGTACAGTAGTGGACCGCCAAGCATCCAGATGATGAGGATGGTATCGGGAATTTTGACGTGCGTTAGTGAAATTTGGCGGCTGGAACTAATCCGAACAATTCCTCAGAACACTCCATGGTAGATACGATAGAAAACGCAAAGGGATGCAACATCCCTAGCGCCAGTGAATCGAGCCGATCAGAAAGAACTTGGTCGTCGACGATTCGAATCGCTCTGCCCTGGATGCGGTCAAGTGGAAGGAGCTGGCACTGGGGTGCCCCGATAAGAACAGTATTCCATGTGAGGCCGAACTTAAGTTAACTAAAGTTGCAAGCGAATTGTGTGTGTGTGCTGAGCACGCCAAACTTTTTAGAGGCCAATTTGACCTTCCCCTCCAAGTGACCACGAAACTGCACACTATTCGATATGTGGACGCCGAGGATTCTGATGCTAGATTCCTCGGAAGCAAATATGCTGGCAAAATAAGAATAACATATTATTACTTATCGCATATTATTACATATCATATTATTTATCAACCTCCAACAATCTCCTAAAATTTAATGTGTTTTACTTACTGTAGGAAGGATTCGCTTAATCGCCACACTTAACAGACAGATTTGCAATCACAGTACCAGATATCTCGCACCTTTAGCGCTCTGTGTAGTTTATATCAGACATATACATATAAGTTGTAGTAGCTCAGATGGTTAGCGCTCGCTGTAAATTTCACACTACGCGAGCAACCCGGGTTCGATCCCCGCTGGCACCAATAAAATTGTTAATTGCCATTTTAAGTGCTGATTCACCACGTGGTCGGCGGTGAAGGAAATTATCCTAAAGAAACCTGCATGTCTGAAACATAAGAAAAAAACAAACAAGTTCGAAAACACGCATTGGGGCAGCGTGGCGGATACTTCCGTGCCCTAAAACCCCCTCAGAAATGAGAGGAAGCTTGTGCCCAGCTATGGGACCTATATAGGCTATAACTTTATTTTTTATATGCATGACGTTTTTTGGCCTTTCCCACATTAACCTCATACGCCACTCAAGGGGTAAAATGGGATGACAGGTTCTTTCATACCACTCACAAGTGTGCCATTACGATAACAAACACTAGAATAAGTACTACTACTACTCTACTCTTTGAAAAATAACCCTGTATAATATATTTTTTATTTTCTGAATTTCAGGAAAAAGTAGTGATCGCATAAGTGGCATTTATAATATAGCTGAGACCCCAGCAATCAAAACCAATCCATCATATACAAATAGAATGACTATTGCCAATAAAGAGAACTATTCAAGTCAAGCTAATATTAACACAAAAATTCACACAACACCTAAGCTTAAACCACCACTCCTGAAAAAAACTTCAGCAGGTGAACCTGACACATTGTCAAATATGTCTTGGAGATCTAATTGTGATGCAAGTTTTCTGCAAACTGAAAAAGCACTTCAAGATATTGACGATAAAACCAAGGCCTTAGAAGAAAAAACGGTAGAAAATATAGCGGAAGTAACACCTCCAGCATCTACCCCTTTCAGAGAGTACAGGAATGTTCAGGAGTTCTTTAACGACACTAATAATGATTCAGAAAATTCTGCTCTTTACAATGATAACACTTTTATGTGTTTTGATAAAATAAATGTCTGCAAGGAAAACAGTGCAAGAGACGAATATGTGATTGCTTCTTTATGTGAATTGCTTTGTAAGGCAACAGTGAATAATTGTGATAAAAAGAGTTCAGAACTTGACAATTTACTAGAAGCTGAGAAACAAACTGAACACAGTATTGAAACGATTGGACATGTTATTAGAACATTAACAAAGATAAAAAAGTCCCAAATGCATTCACTGCAGTATGTAAGGAAATTAATTCATGAAAAGCGTAAAATGGCATCTGGAAACAAAAACGAAATTACGTCTGATGAAATATCTAAAGAGATAAAGCAAGAAATAACAGTACTGGAAAACAGTTCTTGCAGTAGTGAGCGTTGTTCGGTTATCAAATCATGTACAAAATCTCCCTCATATAAGATACCAAAAAAGAATTTGTATTTACATAAAAAAGATTTTCATAAATCAATGCCTAATTGTTCTAATAGTTTGCATACACCACACAAAGATACAAACAATAAAGCTCTAAGTATTTACATGAAAATGAAGGAACAGATGAACTTTTTGAACACACCACATATGAAACATAATAAATTGGAAGCACCAAACACGCCAGCTGTTACATCACACAACCTACAAATGCAGTTGGACAAACTATATAACCGTAGTTAGGAAATTTACTTACTATAAACCTATTGTGAATTTGTTAATGTAGGTATTGTAAAAGACTACCAAGCAAAACTAACGCCAAATTACATACCATACATCAATACATTATATTTAATCTTAATAAAATTTAATAAAAGTACAAATAAATAAATTATTACATACTTTAATGGACTTACATAAATTAAATTAACTTTGATCGGAGAGTGCTAATATTAGGCCGTGCTACTGGCTGGCACATATACAGTGGGGCCTCGTTAATCCGGAGAGGCAAAAACAAGGCTCTTTCCGGATTATAGTATGCCATATTTAGTGGTTATAAAACACATGTTCAACCTTAGTTTCTTTAATTAATTTTCAAATTAAAGCATAAAGACAAAAATGTACATGTTCAAAATTACAACCGTGAAAGAAAACAGTAAGTTAAAATAAAACATTAATTAATTCTTCTTGAATTCAGCGGGATCACGTTCTGTTAGGCTAATAAACGTCAAGATTTTGTCTTTGTTTTTCATTATGTCGCCTACAGTTGACCTGGCTATACCAAACTTCTGAGCAATGACAGGGTAGCTGTCACTTATACCTAACATTTCTATAATCCGCGATTTGTCTTTTATTGTTAATGTTGAATGTTTACGTGGCGGCGCCATGATGTTAGCGAATTGAACGCGCTAAATTGCCACTGTACGTACTACACGAAAGGCGATAAACAAAAGACTGACGACGCCTGATAAACAGAAGAAGAAGAGTGATTGACTCATGGCAGCCCGCAACTGCACCCGCCCGCCTCCCCGGAAGCCCATTGCCCGGCCGGATTACAGCGATCACCGAACAAGCGGGAGTCCGGATTACCGAGGCCCTATTGTAGCTGTAAAGTAATTAACCTTTTTTGACATAACATTTTTAATTTAACTTTGACATGCTAATATAGTTACAGAAGTTTGTAATATAATTTTCACAGTCAATTGTATAAAGGATTTCTAAATTTACAATAAAGGAGTAACATAAGTCACTGTTATCTGTATATTATGCGCAATATTATTTTTATATTTTGCCATGTAGTTTTAAATATTTGTGGGAAAATATAAAACACTTTTTATTATGTTTCAGTTTTCAATAGGATTAAAATTTCAGATTCAATATGACAGAAAGATTTTGCATGGTCGTTAATAATTTAATAAAAAAAAAGTTATTAAAAATAAAATTGGATATTTAACTTATTAGAATTATGAATTAGACGAATAGGAAGTGTTAAAAATTAATTAATGAACATTAACCACATCACAAGTCCACTGCTGCACATAGACCTCCCCTAAACAATGCCACTAACGTGCATTAACACGGCCTTGTGCAACCTGTCTCCATAGATTTTCTGCATCTCTTACCAGGTCGTCACTCCATTTAGTGGGAAGACGCCTTGCACTTCGTACACCGGTACGGCCGACCCATTGCCACTACGGCTTACTGAGTGGACTTGTGAACGGCTGTAATGATAATAATGATGTTAACGATGAACCCTTTGGACATTCAACCAACTGGAGAGGCCGTGCGCATTAAGGCCGGTTTTGGAGCTCGACCGACTGTCAGTGCGTACCATCGGTCCTGACGACACGCATAGCTGATCGTCAGTTTGTAGCGTTCAGAGCTTTCCTGAGCAACAAAACTGGCCGGTACAGTCACAAACACGTGCACGAAATGGACGCGTTAATTGTTTAATTGCTGCTTACTATGTTCGTAAACGTACAAAGAACAGAAGACGTAGATATCAGGTTCACCAAGGGGAATTTACTACTTTATATTCATTATTGCATGAAGATGAAACGTTTTTTAATTACTTTAGAATGTCAATCAAAAGTTATGATGAATTGTCAGTGAAATTACAAGATAAAACATCCGCGAGGTGTTCGGTGTCGACATATGCCATGTTTGATAAAAATTACTTAAATCACTAACACTACTTAACAATACCTATAAAGTCATAAAATACTATTAAAGTTTAGGTTTGATTTTCTTGACGATGATACACGCATCCGTACGGTCGGTGTAGCACTGAACGCGTCAATATGTTTCCATAGCGCGTCGGTCGACCGACGGTACGCATGCGGACGCGCTCGACCGACGGTCCTCGTACGCAGTGCGTAGCTATATACGCGTGCGTACGGTCAGTCGAGCACTGTAACGACTTGTGAATTTTCATACAAAAGGCAAGCGCGACCGACGTACGCACCGACGGTCGGTCGAGCTCTGAAACCGGCCTTATTCTTTACAAAAAGCCTGTCACTTTCAGGAGGAGGCGAGGAAAACACACGACTTTACTACGAATACAAAATTGAATTGCGTGCCGCTGCTTACATGCGTAAGCAAAGTAGGGCGAGGACTACGTCGATATTTTTATCGATAAACATCATTATAGTCCGCATAAGTTATGCGTTGGTAAAACTGATTTTTAGTGTTTTTTCATTCATTACAGCCCTTCATAAGTTCACTGCTAAACATAGGCCTCCCCAGAGGAATGTCACAATTATAGATATGAAAGCGGTTGCTAACGATTTAAACCGAGCGGATAACAACGGTTGTTTTCGTTTTCAACGGTTGACAACCGCTTTTGTTGGCTTAAAATGGATAAAAACATATTTCTTTTGCGCAATAAGTTTTTTCGCTTTCGTAATGAATAAACCACAGAAAGCCCTATAATGTATAATAGTCCATTTTTTTAGATATAAGTAGAACATTTTCGAAAACCGCAAATACAACTTTGTCAATTATACAAACACTATGAAAAACAAAGTAATTTGTTGCTGGCGATAATGATACTAGGCTGCACTAAAAGTATCGGGAATGGAATATTTCCACTGTTCCTGTCATATTAAAATCTTTTTTAATTGAAAACTCCTTGGTTTTAAAAATCGAATTCCATTTACTTATTTAAAAAAAGATTCTCGGTCTTGTCACAAGGTTTTGTCAAACTTGTTTAGTCGTTGAGAAAATGGAATTGACTCAAGAAAATTCAAGAGCGATGATTTATTATGACTTTCGAAGAGGTTTAACACAAAAACACTGTGTTGACCGGATGATTTCTGCATTTGGTGATGAAGCTCCATCCAAAACCACAATTTATCGCTGGTTTGCTGAATTTCGACGTGGACGTGTCAAGATCAGTGATGATCCTCGTCAAGGTCGTCCAAAAACTGCAGTCAACTAAGAAAACGTTGATGCTGTGCGTAAGCTGATTGAGGAAGATCGACATGTGACATACCGCGAAATTCAGGCAACTTTTGACATTGGCATGAGTCAAATTCAAATAATCTTGCATGAACAATTAGGTATAAAAAGTTGTTTTCCCGATGGATACCGCATTCGCTCTGTGAAGAGCAAAAAAGCGGCTCGCGTTACTTGGTGCGTCAGAACTCTCGAAAGATTCCACGCAGGATCCTCAAATGCTGTATACAACATCCTATCAGGTGGCGAATCCTGGATATACGCGTACGAATAAATACGAGAATAAATTGCGTGGACAGAGATTTTCATCACCTGAAGAAGCTGTGGACGCCTACAAAACGGCCATTTTGGAGACCCCATCTTCCGAATGGAATGGTTGCTTCAATGATTGTTTCCATCGTATGGTAAAATGTGTCAAATTTCTAAAAGTAATGTTGTGTCACTTCCTTGATTCCCGAAATTTTCAGTGATATTTTGACCAGATAAAGAATTTATGCTTGCTACTACGGAACCCTTCACGGGCGAGCGAGTCCGACTCGCACTTGGTCACTTTTTTCTACTTTTAGTTTTATTTTAATAAATTATTTTTCGTTTAGGTGGAGATATTTTTATTTTAGATATATTATAAGTGTGTAAATACGATTCTTGAATTGTAAAAATGATAATTTTTACTTTTATTTACTTAAATAATTCACACAAATAATAATATAATTTAATCACATAACTAACGCCCTCATTAGCAATGTATTGGTGAATGAATTTTCAAATTAGGTCAAGTACTTTTCAAGATTAGCCAAAAAAACATATTCATAGAAAGTAGCGTCCTCTATAATAAAATGCATCCTACGTTAGAGATCTATAAGTATACTAGGTACATAACATTCTAGTGATGAAAGAATTTTTAAATCGGTCAAATACTTTACGGGTTTTGCTAAAAAACATATTCGTTGATGGTAGCGCCCTCTATAATAAAATGCATCCTACGTTTCATAGTCATAATAGCATTCTAATGGGGAAAGATTTTTTTTAAATCGGTCTAGTAGTTTTTAAGCACCATTGCAAAAAGCGATTTAGCTTAGCCACCCGCACACATAGTAAAAACATAAGCATCCTTTTTCGACTCTAGTGGGATAAACAACCGGTTGACAACGGTTGCGTATTAGCTGCTTTGGATAAATACGGTTGATTTACACCTATAGTCACAATGCACGGTCCTGAATCACCTACATCCATCGACTTCATGCATGTCTTACCAGGTCGTCACTCCATCTATTGGGGGCCGCCCTACGCTTCGGCCGCCGGTACGAGGCTGCCACTCGATAACCTTTTGTTCCTATCGGTTGTCAGTTCCTCGAGCTATATGGCCGGTCCCGTACCTTTACCATAAGGGCACACGGGGCCTGTGATCTGGGTCCATATTATCACGGGGGACCCGTGATGAAAGGTATCGGCCTTATTCGTTTACGCTATACAATATTTTTCTATTTTAGAAAAATTTTACCCGACAAAAAATTTATAGAGTAAATGAGGGCGTTGTTAGTGACTTTCTGGCAACCCTGAGAAGTGACGAGTCACATATTGTCGGAAAAAGTGGCAGTGACAGATTTCCTAGCTAGAAAATATGTAGTTCCGCGTTTCGCCGCCATCTAAACGTTTTTGTCGGGCTGTGCAGTCGCCTTACTTATAGCCTAATTTTTTTTAATTTTCGGAAATCTATGTATTTATAAAAATAAATCTATGAGATAAAAATATTTCGCACTGTTTAATAAAAATAACACTTCAAAAGA